GTTATTATGCATATTTTAAGAGCTTTCTGTCTGTGCATTGGAATGGAGAGTCAATATTCATAACATTTTGCATTTGGTAGCAGTTTTGAGGTCCTAAAGTATTTCGTTTAGCTGCTTGTCAGTATGTTAGCTTAAACGTCCTATTTCCAAAGCATTTTTAATTAGCCCAAACAGTTACATAGATTACATAAACATGTGTATGTTGACCTGAAGAGCTACCACTTTGTCTGTCCCCATGAAATGTTTCCAGGTGGACTCACTTGACCAGCACAGCAAAATTGGTGGCTTCAGCCTTCACATTAAAAAATAAAGTACTGAAAAAGTTTTTTCACTGATTTTCAGTTTTCAGTTGATTGTCATTTTGTTAAATGTTAATTAGGACAACATTTTTAAACACTTCTCCTTTGTCTTTATCTTAAATACTCCAGTTGAGGTTGGTGCCATCATGAGAGTTAGTTCAAACACTGCAGGACTCAGTCCCTCATGTGATGAATTGATACTATGTAAAATCCATTTTACATTAGATTTCGTCTTAACTGAACTATCCAATATCTCCTTTAGTTAGCTTCTTTGTACATCCTTTAAATCCTTCCTGAACAGCTGCATTTTGATATGGTAGTATTGTCTTCAGAAATTCCAATAAATGTTAGTGTTTTGGTAGTATCATTAATAAGCCTTAAAATGAAAAATAGCTTTGATAGAGAAAAGGAAATAAAATAAGAGCAGCCTTTTTTCTTTTTTTTCTTTTTTTTCTTTTTTTTTTTTTTTTAAGGGAACAAATCTGTATGATCTATGAAAATTCAAATCAACCTTGAGACTCTCCTTAAGTATATGGAAGAGAGGACAATGTTGGATTTTTTTAGTACAGTTTTCAAAATGTCATGTGAGACAGCAAGTAATACTAAAATATTTGGAATTTATTTTTCTTTTTGCTACTGCCATCTTGGTAGCCAATACTAACAGGCAATGTGTAGGTTTTAAATGTTACTGTTTTCTGTATTCCATACGTTATGATTATCTGAAAATCCTACATATCTGTTTTGAGAACGAAGGATTTCTTGGATATGTATGGCTCGTTTTATTTTGCTACTCAGCACTGAATAAAGCTAAGTGTGTTTCAGAATTTGTCTCTCAAAAGGTAAAGGAATTTTATCAGTGATTTATATATACAGTAATGAAAACTTTCTGGCAATGCAGTGGATATTTAAGCTTTTGCCTTTCAAAGTTACTTTGTTACCAGTTTGATGCAAAGAGTAAGTCAAATCTGCACAAATGATGTCAGTTATTTGCTTGTAGCTTTGAGAAAGCAAATTACTAAGGGATGGGAATGGGTATATTACTTCTAAGTAGACATTTGTCTGAAAATTGGAAGCAATATTTGGGTGAATATTTGTAATTTGCAGTCTGTGTGGCTGTATTTGGGTAATAAAACACTGCATTAAAAATGGTGGATTTTGTTCCTGTTGGTAGTTGTGTACAGTACACGTGCAGTACAGGAGCTTAAGTCTTTTATATCATCCTCAATTTCACTTATCTCTTGAAAGGGATTCTTTCCTCTTGAACTATAAATTTTGGCAAGGAATTGCTTATGGACAGAACATAAGGTGGAAAGGGCAAGCCACTTATGAACTGACTGGTGGATCCATTTTGAAGAGTTTGACTTTTTTGCTGTGCATGTATTTACTTCTTTGGCACTACATCCTCCAGAGAGGAACTAGTTTCAGAACATTTCAGGTTTACTGTAGTCACCGATCCTCAATAGTCAGCTAAGCAAAATTAAGTTGTTTAGACTTGTAATTTTGTTTGCTGGAAAATTGAGAAAATTTGTGCTAATAAAAATCAAAATATATTAACATTTATTGGGGAAATTGCATTGAGTAAAACTTGTAATACCCTTTTAAATGCAGCAGCCCTTAATCAGAGGTGGATTGCTGCTTATTTCACAGTTCTAATGCTCCATGGTGAAACCTGATTCCTTCTGTTCCTTTGAGACTTGTTAGCCAAGCAGCTGTGACTCCAGATGAGCAAAATGTTATGCTAATGAAAATTCATAGTGGAGTTGTAGCTTTTCTGGTGTCTCCCTAGTAGCAGACAGGTTTTTCAGCCTGTGTTTTGGAAGCGGCAAGTGTTTTGTTTTATTTCTCTTGACTTTTTCAAATGGACTAGCCAGTTATAGCCAGTTATTTGGTGGATGTGGGGGAAAGTGAGAGGAAGACTCACTTAAGACCTTCCGTGGAAGGTGGTCTTCGAGCATCTCTGGTCAGAGAGTGATAATTCTTCTTCAAGGAAAGCATGTGAAGTCAGGGCCTTGCTCTGTATCTGAGGAAGTAAGCATCTTCTGCAGCAAAGAACATAAACTAAAGCAACAGTTCATAGGCCAGTTGAGCCTGTGGCTTGCAGGACATCAAAAAATATTCTCTGAGCCATGAGCTTCATGTGATATATCATAATTATACTACTACAAGCTCACTGTTTTCAATAATATTAGTCTGCAAGCATTAAGCTTTCAACAATAGAAGATTCCTCCCAGTAGCAACTGAGAAATTCATGCTGGATATTTTTCCTATAATGCTGTATTACTCTCTTGTTAAGGAGCTGAAATCCTTTTCAGAGCTCTCCAAAGTATTTAAGATTCTTGTTTGATGAACATATTAATAGTATAATTTGTATTAAGGTTATAAAAATTCCTATTTTAAACTCTCTTTGGACTTGTAGTCTAATTTGCTTCTATTACTTGGAGTTCTTTCAATTCCTATCTCGAATGATCGCTGTCAAGAAAATGGATGGCAATATAAAGGACGTGTTGTTTCTGAATTGAATTTGGAAAAAATGCCTTGTTTTTGAAAATAATAATGATTTTTTCATTTCCTTCTTTTTAGTTTTTCTCTCTAGTATCTGAATATTAGCATAGTTTAACATATTGTGGTTAATTTTTTTAGAAATTACTTTTGTTGGAGAATATTTTTAGAGAGTATAGGATAGCCTGATAGATATTGCCCCCACAGATGAGAGCAGACATATTTTAGAAGAACTGATGAAATTCCTTGCAAGAAAGTGTGTAAACTTAAATTTATTCTCTGTCTGGTTGCTAAGACTTCAAATATCAGAGTCAGTCTAACAGGTAGTAAAAATAATATATTAGAATAGGAAGCAGAAAAAATATGAAGGTAAAGGCATAATATAGGATAATAGAAATCTTTCCAGCTCTGATAATTCGAGAGCCTGCAAAGAAAAATTTAAGATTGAAATTCCATAATTTGCACCAATGGTTGTTTATCTATTTGTTGTGATTAAATATTTTTTTCCTATTTACCATATGGAGTCTGACAGCTGCTTTTTATCTGTCAGATAGAATGGGTGAACAGTTTTTGGCACGTGAGTTATTGTTTATAAGATATTTATTTATTTTGTGAGGTATTGTGTAGATAAATGCATTGTATTTATAATTTATTAAGGTTTCTTTTTATAAGGTATTTACCTGTTTGGTTACCAAAAGAGTTTAAAAAGAAAAATAATGAACAACAAATGGAAAAATCACTGGCATAAATGCTTGTTCTCTTTCAGAGTACATCCATGTATTTATAAAGACATGGATATTCATGTAAACATCAATTATGAGAAGACACCTAGGAGAAGTAAATGTTGTTTGTTTAAAATATTAATGAGAAGAAAAGACAAAACTAGAATATTTCTAGTGAAGCATGTGAAGACAAAGCTATAGTGATTTCAGTTGGATAAGTGATGTACATTTTTAAATGAGCAAATTGTATGTACTGTGATAATCCTGAGATAATACATGGTGTGCATGTGGAAGGGAGTGGGGAGGGAACTGAGGCTGTTTTCATTAAGTTGTTTCTGTAGAATTAAATTTCTAGCTCTCTGTCATAATTTATTAAGCAAAGGTATGGAGGTAAGACAGAAATTCAAACTAAAAGCATTGATAGGACATATCTGTTGAGCCACATGTTTTGTCTCTGTTCCCAGATTTATGGGAAACATTCTGTTCTCTCAAAAGGACAGAAGGGAAAAGGAAATGCCACCTTCTAGCATTACTGAGTCTGCCAGAGTATATTAATAACTGTGTTATTTTTTCCTTTACTGAAATCTTGATTAAGCCAGAGTTGATTTAACAGAATCACATAATGATTTAGGTTGGAAGGGGCATCTGAAGGGATGCCCAGAGTAGGTTGTCCAGTCCAGGCCCAAGTCCCAGCAACTTTTGAAGATCTCCAAGGATGATACTCCACAACCTCTCTATGCAACATGGACAGTAAAAGCTCAGAGCTCCTGGTTTCTGCTAGCTCTTATGTGAAACGTGTATGGACTTAATACTAAATTTCATGTCCACCAGTCTTTTTACACTTTGATTTTCTAGACAAAGCGTAGGAGGTGAAATGTTGAGTCAAGATGAAACTCGTTCAATTATATATATATACATATATATGTACTTTATTAAAATGACTGAATTCAATGTTCCTTAGAAATGTATGTTGTTATTTTTAGGGGTTGGAATCGTTGCTTTGAGTGAACTCATTCACAAGATGATTTTTTTCCCCTATGTAACTGTTGCTTCCAATGATTAAATAATATTAAGAAAATGTACGAAGCATGACTCTGAAAATATTATTCTTTTTTTCTTTTCCTGCAGTATTTATATAGTGCAAGAAAATGTAGCTTTTCCTACATGTAGTCCTGTTTAATGAGGATCATGCTGTCAAATTGCATACCATGTGCGTTTTCAGTAAAAGAATGTAGGAGGAAAGTTCATGTTGAATGAGAAAACAAAATTACCATTTAAACTTTGGCTTTTTCTTATTGGTATGCAAGTTTGGTCTGCAGTTTTGGAACTAATTGTGAGGTTCTAATTAATCTCTAGAGAACTCACATGGACAATAGATCACTCATTAGGCTATAAACTTTTTATGAAGTTGATTAGCTATTTTCTCATGCACATTGTCTAATATGGAAACTGAAATGATGCATGTTAATTTGCCTTTCAGACGTTGCAACTGCCTGTCCAGATAAGAAGTCCATCTTAATGTACGTGACTTCCCTCTTCCAAGTTCTGCCACAGCAAGTCACTATGGAGGCCATCAGGGAGGTGGAAATGCTGCCTCGGCACTCAAGGGTCACTAGAGAAGAGCACACACAAGTACATCAACAGCATTTTTCACAAGAGGTGAGTCGTCACTGTTCTTTTCTGCTTTCATCTTGCTTCTTTAATTTCCCTTACTTACCCCAGAAGTTTGATGTTAGTTGCCAATGGAAAGTAAAAAAAAGTCCCTTTCAGTACTTTTGTACTGTTTTTCACATTGTACCTGGCTGTTTCAACTAACTTCTGAAGAACTATGTGCTTTGCAGTTCCCTTCTAGAGCACTGGATATTTCGGCTGTCAAAGTATGCTAGGTGAAGGAACACAAAACCTGGAGAAAGTTTTACATTCTAAACACAGATATGTTAGAGCCTATTTTGCCTTTTACAGCTGCTGCTATTTTTCCACATTCATGACACATTTTTAATTACTTTTATTTTTCTTTTGGCATTTCTTTTATACTGACTTGCATTTTAAGACTATTTGTTCTCACCTCACAGTTGGCTGCTCAGAAAGCTCAAGTAATCCCTGGAGTTAATTATTCTACCTATTCCAGTTATGTTTGTGACTGAAATCATCAGTTGAAAGTGTTCAGTGGATTTTAGGCCTGGTGTGCTTGTTCTGAATTTAATCTCTATTTTTTGGGATGCTCAGTACAAGCAAATGAGTATTAGCTTTGTTTATTCAGGATTTGCTAGAAGATCAAATGTTCGTTGTTGTTGTTTTTTAGCTATTCCCAGTTATTTGTAGAGAATTTTCAATTTGTGTTCATATTCTGCTTGTATTGAGTCCTGAGATTTTCTACCTTTTGAGGAGAAATGTCAGGTTTAATACTATCCCAGTTTTAACAGCAAAATATTAACACTGTCCTAGACAGATAAAACTGCTTATGCCCTTTCTGCATTTAGTTTTGAAATCATTGCTTTACTTCTAAAATATTTTCATATCCATATAGCTGTTCTTTCCACCTCTGATTTCTTCTTCATAGATCACAGTCAATATACCCCCGAGACCTTCACCTTCTCCTAAACCACGGTTCAAAAGTTATGCATATGCACAAACTGCGTATGTCATACCCCCTGACCAAAAAAGGAGGCAGGTTCCTCCACAGGTCTGTCAATATTGCTTTTTTTTTTTTAATTTTTTTTTTTTTTTTTTTTTTTTTTTTTTACATTGTTCTGTTAAGCTTGTGGCTGGAGTGAAAGCTTGTGCATTTTGCTTATATCTGATCTTGACGAGCCACTTTTCTCAGTTGTTTTTTGTTTGTTTGTTTGTTTGTTTTTTAGCATCTGTCTAGTGTTTATTTTTTTTGGTAAATTTCAGCATGGCTGGCAAGAGATGTTATGCTGATTGCTGGGGTTCAAGAATATTCAAACACTGAAGCTGTTTTAGAATTCTAATCTTTTTCCCTTAGTCATTTTTGTAAATAGTACGTATGTTGACTTTAAAGACTACTAAAAGAACAAACCAAACACAAGTATTTGGCATCTCATTGTTATTAAACTTGTGTCTCAGATTGGATTATAAAAAAAAAGTGAGAACCGCTGACTTTCTGTTATTTCCCAATTCTCATATCTTTTTGAAGAAATTTACATTTTTCAAAAGATTACCATAGTTGGAAAAAAAAAAACAAAAAAAAGAGAGAGAAAGAAAACATTAAATTTAATATTGCTTAAATGTCCTGTATTATGAAATGATAATAGCTGATCATTTTAATAAAAAATGGCACCACATCAACATTTCAGGTAGGGATTCTTTGATTTTTGTATTGTTTTTATTTACTTACTTTTATTCTTACTTAGCTTCAGTAGTTTAATCTTATTTGTTTCAACCAGTCCTCATCATAAAACTTTCAATATTGAGATTTTATAACTTTTGACAAATGTGAGAGCCAAATATTGTGCTTTACTTTCATTATTGTGGAAAGAAGAAAAAAAAAATCTGCATTTGACACTGCAGTGTGAGTATGCTGTTTAAACTCTAGAAATATATTTCAAATTTACATTTTAATTTTGAACACTGCTTTTGAATCTACTCTTCATGTGACAGCTATTTTACTGGATAACTTCCTTTAAGTATTCCAGGAAAATAAAACTGTGCACATCTGCATGAGCCTTGCTTCGTTATACTAACATTGGATGTGTTGCAATGGTAACTGAAAATGTCATTTATTTAAATAAGATGTTTAAAGTTGATATGACTGATTTCTTGTGTTTAGGTACTAAACTGATAATTCAGAAGAAAGAGAACTCATAATAGCGTTTTTTTTTCATTGAGCCAGTTTTGTTGTGACTTATTTTTGTCAACGTTCCAACTCCTCAAATGTAATGTACAAGCTCATGTAACATTTTGAAGTCAATGCTTCAAAAACTTCTAAGATCTATTACAAAATTTTTTTTGTCATTTAGTCCCCACCTTTCATCACAGTCCTCAGATTCTTTTTTCTGAGTTTGGAGGTATATTATATTTCTTTAATTTATTATTATTTAGTATATTTTTATATTTATTATATATTATTTATATATTATATTGGAGGTCTGTTATACTTCTGCAATAGCTATTATTACATCATTTAAATTCTGCCAATTTGACAGAATCTGAAGACCTAACCGGCACTGGGCCATATTATGCTGGAGGGTAAACAAGTATTAACAAAGGATTTGTTTTAAAGTCCTAGGTGAAAAAACACCTGACTGTATCATTATCATAAAAATAAAGTTGTATTACAAGTAGTACCAATTAATATTCTATTTCAGTTTATACAATTCTTAATCAGTGGTAATGACTTTCTTTTTTTCTGCCTCTAGCTATGTATAGATTAAAGAACAGCAGTCATCTAATTTACAGGAAGTTTATAATCCTGGTAAAATTGTAGTTGATAATTTTTGCTCACAGTATCTGAAGCTTATATACCTTAATAATCTCATCTATTTTAACTAAGTCAAATATTCCTTTCAGTTTTCATTTCCCTTCCAATTTTCTGCCAGCTACATTATACTTCAGCTGTATTATGATTTTGGGGTACCCTTATTGATTTTGCAAATGCCTGTACAATTTCCAGTCAAATTTATTTCTGTAGGGCATGCAGATTTATTTCTGTAGAAGCTCATTATTTCTTCAGTATAAAGTAAAATCAACATTTAAGGCATGTAGAAAATTTCATAACTTGAGTAGAGCACCCCTTCAGTGTCTCTGTTTCTTAGTAGCTGCCTTCACTGAAATTTTAAGGCTATTGGAGAAAAACAGCTCGAAATAAATCCCTTTCTATTCTAGAAAAGAATAGAATCCTTTCTTAACATTCTTTGTGAAAGTTTCTCTACTTCAGTTGTTGTTGCAAGTAGCAGCATCAGACCTTTGAAATCAATCACACTAAAGTATTGTATGTTCTTGGTGTTTTAAATTTCTGAATGCTTAGAGCATTAGGCTGTTTTATCAGCATCCTCTTACACCATCATCTGTCAACATCTTTTGCCTTATGACCTTATCACTTCTGTGTCACATTTCCATTTGCTTTCCTTTCCGCTTATTGCTCCTCTTCTTACTAATACTAATATGTTGTGAAGGTTCACAACATGCATGCAGTTGCATTAAAATCCATCGTTTGAGCTCATAATTTGTCACTTAGAAACATACTTCTCTGTAAGGCATACTATTTTAATTACACAAATTTTGGCCAGAGAAGTCTAATTTTGCTTAGCTGTGGCTGATGCTTCTCAGATTCAAAGAAAATATTTTCTGCCAACCAGTTCACCTATTGCCATCTTATTTGGTCTCTATTTGGCCACTTTTAGTTGTAGTTAAGCCTTTTTTAAAAGTTGTTACTAAACATGGCTGGTAGTTCTGCTAATGGCAAGAAAGAGTCAAAAATATCAAAAATATCAAAATATCAATTTAAAATTCCCCTTAAGGTTTTGTTTTGTTTATAAGAAACTTTTATATGCGACATCAGTTAATTTCATTGAACACCTGACCGAGCAGAACAGTATTTTTCCTTTCTGTTTTTTTCGGATAATGTTTTGTCAGGGCAGTTTCAAATATTGATCCCAGGCAAAACTCATCTCACTGTCTTCTGACTTGCTCTCCTCTGCCTGAACTCCATAGCATGTGTATGATACTGTCTTAAATGAGTTCAAGTACCAAGGGAAAAAATAAAATCAAACACTGAAGTACCTAGAAAATGATTTTAATATATTGAAAAAATAATGTTGAAAGCTTTATGAATTGGGATAAAAAAAATATAAATCTGTCTATGGAGATTGGTGCCAGCGTTAATAACACTTTTGTCAAGACTGTTTTAAAAGCCAAATATGATTCTGCTTGCCTTGGATTCCTTAGATTAAGGAAGATCAAACCCATTGTATTTTGATATCTTATAGATTTTTTTCTTCTGGCAAAAGTTAATATTTCTTTTTCTCTGATATTTGAAGTACAGTGTTAATGTTTAGGATTACTTTTAGCATCAGTAGATTTGAATTTAAATAATTTGGTATTCAGTAGGGCCAGTGTGGACAGTATTGCCCAGCACTTAATGATTTCTTTTGAGACTTAGGAATCAGAGACTTCATCTCAGGCCTCAGTGTAGCATCCAGTTGTGGGAAATTTCTAACCATGCAGTCATTACTCCTGTTCTACTGAAGAATAATAAAATATTTTTCCATATGTTCTGTTTTGTCCTATGTACTTTACAGAGATACTGTACTTTACTTTCTCTATCATTAATTCATTAATACAGTAGATAACTTGGAAGATTTCTAGAAATGCATTAGAAACGGAATCTGAGTTTACTTTCTCACAGTTCTTTTGGCAAACTTTGCCATGAGATTCCTAGTGGTTTAGACTCTCGGTTTGCTATATTCTTGCAGTATGGTGTGTCCCATGAGAGTTACTAGCCTGTGCCTTGCTCGCTTTTTAAGGATAGTATATTATTGAGAAATTTAAAAATGCTGTAGTATAAATGTATCCATTGTATACTCAGCATTGATCTAATAAATCTGAATAATTCACCTCCACATGGCTTGTAATATCAAAGAACAAAAGGGATACTTGATTGGAATTATTTTTTTCTTACAGCTAGAAACATAGCAAGA